GTCCCTCAGCTGGGAATATACTTTATCATGATAACGGGCCACAATTCCAGCTGCTTCTTCCCCGAGTAACAGAGTTCCAGACTGGAACGCCTCCAATGCTGGAGACTTGCGTTTGGACATCTCATTTATGGCAATTGAGATTGGACTCTGTCCTGGTTTTAGGTTTACCACGGCCACTTTTAGCCAATCTGAACCTATATCTATGCTTAATACAGCAGTCTGAGACCGTATCGAAAGCAAAAAGAGCATAGATAGAGATAAAACCAATCTGAATCGCAGCTTCAACATTCTGAGTGGCAACATGGATTGCTTCTGTCGAGCACAAACCAAAAACAGGAATATCAACAAGATTAAACTTGGTTACACAATATTGGAATTGAATTAGTATTTCAGAACTTCCAAAAACTTCAATCTCCGATATTCAGATGCCATTTCGAATGAATTTTCACAAATTTCCTTTTCAAGTTTTAAGATTTAGTTGGTACAGTAAACAATCAAACAAGAAAATACTCATCCTTAAGCAAACAATCTCAGATAAACTATTTGCATCTCATAATTACATTTTTTAATCGGCGATGGACAATCACAACAATGCTTGTTTAACGAGAATAAATTGAAAAAGAAAACAGTAAACGGGTTTACGAGATAGCATTGGTTGATAGATTTTATAGGTCTCACTGGAAAAACCAGAGCCGCCGTGACGGCCGTTGAATGTCAAGGAAAATCGAATGAAGCTGCCAGTTCCGAAACTACCTTCTATTCATGGAATCAATACCAAGTCGATCAGCCGAACAGAGATTCATGAGAATATAGAGAATCTAGGGAGAAAGAAAGCAAAATGATGGAATTCTCAAGAACCAACTGGTTCCTGTTTGTTTGGTTGCCGAGAAAATATGCGAAGAGAGGAAGTATACTCTTTTCTGGGAAACTCTGTCAGAGACTGGGACGTTTCCATTTTTGGAGGGATTAATAAATATGAGCACTGTCGACGTGGGAATTGCAGAGCAGTATGGCCAATCAGATGGTGCCATGTTGCAGGTTGTACGCGTGGCGGGATCTCAGATCCTAGATTGTGTTGTGCTTACAGTCGTCATGACTGCCCCTCGAAGGACATCTTATACTAGTGCCAAAATTATTAGTCTCCCCGGTATGATGCGATAAGACTACATTTTTTCGGTATTAATGTTTAATTTGTATTCTTAAAAATATATTAAATATATATTTTTATTATAAATTTATATTAAAAAATAAAAATTAATTTTTAATTTATTAATTATTCAATTAAAATTATACATTAATATTAAAATTAATATTAATTTTTATATTAAATTAATTACTAAAAATTAAATTAATTACACAAAGAAATAAGTTAGAGAAACCCTACTACAATAAATCATTTTCAGAGCAGGAACCTGAACATATAACTCGGAAAGCAACTGCATCTCCCAAGTAGCTTCTGCCACTGCTTTTGTAATGGCACGATACTCAACCTTTGCGCTAGACTGGGAAACTGTAAATTGCTTTTTAAAAGACCAAGAAATGAAGGAATTACGAAAAAATAAATAATACCCAAAGGTGGAGCAACCAGTATTCAACTATCCTGCCTAATCTGCGTAAGTGACAGCATGAAGAAGAAATGGAATCCTTTGAGCTGAAGCCCAAAATAGAGAGTACCTTCAAGTGGATTCAAGTGGATCATTTTAAATTAGAAAAGCC